TGGGATCCGAACCCTCGGCGGGAGCGCCGCCCTCTACCGAGTGCGCCACTGGGCCGGCCCCTGTTTTATACTTTTAAAATGTCTCCTTTTACTTTCTGTTTGCTTAAGGAACTACCTATTGTTTTTATTTGCTCTTGTAACTCCTTTCAATTTGGTCTTCACTTTGTGTTGCTTTGCGTTGCTTCGCCCCCCACGGATTTGTCACCCCACTTCCCCTGGGTGACAGAGACGCAAAGGATTACTCAAAGCCCATATCTACTGAGTAGTGAGAGGCCCCGAAGTGGTTAATCTCCCTTTGGGACGCTCAAGCAAGAGCCCTCCCTTCTTTGGGAAATTAACACTGAATGTGAGTTCTCTTCCTGCATTTATTTTCCAGACCAGGAAGTTACAGGAAGAGACATAGATGGGGNCCCTCCGTTTTGAAATTTTTTAAATTTGAACACCCCATCCAATTTTAAAAATAGTTATACTGTATCTTCCTTGTCAGAGCACGTCGATATTACATAGTGTATTCAAACCTTCTTGATTCTCCTAGGTGTACAAGTAACTACACTCAGATATGTTTATTAATGTTCACCATTAGTTCCTTTGCAGGTGCTTCTCTGGTCATTTTGGTTATCCGAAGTTCATTCTCTAGAACACTCTTTAGGAAGTGATTATGGGAACAATGGTCCCCTGAATTCTTGAACGTCAATAAAAGTTTTACTCTAGTCTTTGTATTTAAAGGTCAGTTTGAATGGATATAAAATCCTTTAGCCTACAGGTTTTTCCTTGAGCATCATAAATTTTGTTGCTTCATTTTCTCCTGTCATAATGCAAGGCTCTTGAAAAGCCTAATGGTAATGGTAATCTATTTTTTTTTCCATTACCGTTAGGCAATGGTTTTCATTTCAGGAACTCCTATTGTCTATATTTTTGGATCTTTTCTTTCTGATCTTCAGTATTTGTCACTTTCTCTTGAATTTTTGTATCTCTTCACTTGATTTATACTTTTTTTTTTCCTTTTTGTCTTTTTT